TTTTTTCCTCATATATAGTGTATAACTTTATTGCCGTCTTTCTCGCTGCAACTGACTATTATTCGTTTCGGATTCCATTTTTGTCCTCATTGATCCGCACTGTGTGTTCGTTATCATCTCTCTCTCTCTTTCTCTCTCTCGCGTGCTGCATCCGACTATTATCCATTTTGCACTCACTTTTTCTCTTATTCGCTTGCACTGTTTGCTTATTACCATACCTATCTTTCTTATAATATTTATGCTACTTCTTCTATATTCAAGAAAATTCTAGAACATTCAATCGCTTCCATTTCCATGTCGCGCATTTACAAGCAGTACCGCCGGTATACCGCAGTCATTATAAGAACCGCCGGTATACCGGCTGTTTCTACAATGACCGCGGTATACCGGCGATTTTTATAATGACCGCGGTATACCGGCGGTGATTTTTTTTGACCGTCGACATATGCTGTCGATCTTTTTCTCGTTCAAATGAAACATTTATAAGGTATCTACAAATATCGACAAATTTATTTAGTAAGAAATGTGTTGTATTCAGTGACGCTGATATTTTTTTTGACAATACTAGAGTTATGATCACTTGGGGAAAATTCTATTTCAAAGACGTTTCCGCCATTTGTTTCGATTGAATTTAAATCTTTTTGAATAGTCTGATTTTTTCATTTTCGTATGATAAAGTTATTTTTGAGTGCAGCTTTATCTGTACAAATTATTTTTTTTTAAATTGAACTTGCTATAATAACTTTTTCCTAATATTTCTAATTATTACGATTGATCATTTAGTGCTACTTTGAAAAATAATGATAAATGATTCCTATATCTTTATTTTTTAACGATAAAGGGCTATTTATCGTTAAAAAATAAAGATAAACGATTGGAAAAATAGTTTATCATTTATTTTTTTAAAGAAAGAGGTCATTTATCTTTAGAAAACAAACGTAAAGGATTTGTTTATCTTTATCCTTTATTACAAAGTCTCACAGACACATATGTTATTGTACCTGTTTCGGATATTTGTTGCAAATGTGCTTCGATACCTGTACGAAGTTACTTTTGCTTGTCGGAATTTAGAGTGGACTTTGAACATGATTAGAATACATATATCATTTATAAATTATTGCTAACTGTTTTTATACCAGAAATTTTCTTTCAATTATAATCTCATCAAACAATTACTTTTTTTATTTTTGCTATATTCTAGATTTTGTTCAATGAACAACAACATATATGTTCGACCTTGTGTATCGGCACGACCATCAGTAGTCGATCTTTACTGCTTGGTATTATTTAAAGAAGATAATTCGTACATTGTTAAAAAAAAAACTCAACTGCCAACTGCTGATAAATCTGGCTTAGTTAAGATGCGTTTTCAAAACCAAGTTATGATTGGTATGATTATTCGTGAAGGTTCGTGTTTCAAAATGAATGCTGCTAAAGTCTAAAAAATTTAATATATACCTTAGGTTCCGAAGATGAGTGTGAGAAAGCTGGTCGTGGACTCGAGTCAGTAATAAGAACTGACCTCGAGTCTGAAGCTGAAGTTTCGTATTCAACTCAAAACAAATTGAACCAGCGCAAAGAAAATCAAGATCCATCATTAAATTCAAATTACACGAAACCTGCAACAGCAAATGTTTGTGCATTACCTCCTTTTTCGGGTAAAATCTTTTTCTTTTCATAATATCATATTAGCTTTACTGTGAAGCACAGTTAAAAGGCTAGAGAAGTATTTTCTAATAATTTGGTTAAAAAGAAACATGCGCTTTCAATTCTACATAAAGTAACATCAGATAAGTAAAATAAATGTCTTTCTAAAAAAAGACATACACATTGACCAGTACTTTTAAAATATTGAATATCAATAATAGTAGCTTCAATATAATAAAGATCATGGTTTCGCCAAATTTGCTTAAATCTATTACTGCTCTAATTTCAGTCAAGTTTATTGTTACTTTTCTTTAGAGTTGATTGGTCGTAAAGACCGAGCTTCGGAAGAGCCAATCTCAAGCACTGCCAAAGAAACAAGTAATCAAAATCATAATAATTTAAACTGATTCGACTTTAGCTTTAGATGTAAAAGATCTTGGAACCGATCAAATAACATCATCTAATAGTGATTCAAGTAATGAAATCGATTCTATTGAAGAGATGTTGGAGGAGCTCAATGAAATCAATCCATCAAAGAAAATTGTTTGCAAAAAGAAACGAAAAAAGAAAAATCAAATTGCTCCAGCTGCTAAACGTTTCGTTGCTACCAATAATACAGTATCAGATGATAATTCAACATCAGTTTCAACTGTAAATGAAATATATAAAATCTTACAACGAATTGAAAGTGATTGTCAAGCAAATCAAATTCAATTAGAACAACTTGTTGTTGAGCAAAAGCGACTAAACAATATGATACGTCTAATGTTTGAAAATCAGAAACGTATTCAAAGAGGTTTTGCGAAACTACAAGTAAAAGGTTTCTTTTAATATTATAAATTTTTCAACAGAGTGTTTCCATATTTAGGTTCATGTACCATTAGTTGATCCACAAGATGAAAATAATGAAAAATCAGATAAAAGTAATTTGGTCCCATTCCGTAAATCTCTGGTACGATACGATTACATCTATATAGAAAATAATCAATCAAATTTATTTACTCAATCACTTTGTTTTAGAAGTGGCCTGTTGGGTCATCTGATTCAGTAGACGTCTTGCTAATTTCATCAGATCCAAAAAATAAAACACGTTATGCAACTAAAGTTTTGAGCATCGTCTTTTCACGTGAAGATCTTGAAAATATTCAACCGGATGCCTTACCTACTGACGAACGATATCTTTTTGTGAAAGGTAAAATGTGATTTCATCTTTATTTTACTGTCAAATCGCATATTCTTTTCAAGAGGCCGTCAGGTCCAAATTTAAACTTGATGCTGCTCAAATGGCATTACAATGGACCATCTTTCACGAAGCCATCATGCAGAAAAGAAGAAATAACCGACGTGATAGCCGTGAAAATGGTAAAAATCAATCAACATAGATGAAATAAAAAATATGAAAATACACTTTACTAATATTTGTCATTGATTTACTATTTTTTGTTGATTAATCAAGCGAATTTTTCCACTATTTGTTTTTACTATTGTTTCCGATTGTAAATGTTGAACTAAGCTTTTTCTCATGTTGAAATAAATACTACTATTTCATTGAACTTTAATGAATATTTTGTAAAGATAAAAGAGATTCTATAATGTCATGGATAAATAGATTTGAATCCTAGCCTACCGGTTTAATATGAAAAATACCGCAGGTCTTTTTGCAACTACCGGCAATACCGCCGGTTAACCGGCGGTAGAACACACATTATACCGAACGGTCAACCGGTGGTATACCGTCGGTTTTTTTCCGGTTTGAATCACATGGGTTGTTCTAGTTTTACACTCTTCGAACTTTAGTTAAGTTCAAATGTCACTGTCAGTAAACCATAACATTGCATTAAGGAGTGCCAACTAGTTGAACTTTCAATAAATTCATCAGATTAAAATTTTTTTTCTGATTATATTTTATCATGTGCTGTATAGTATGAAATACTTAACCTGCAGTTCAATAGATATATTGAGGATAGTAATGCATTATATAACAACATAAATAAGAATAAAAAGAAGAAGAAATAATAATTAAGATAATTTTGATTGTTTCTTCCATCGTTGGATATTTCGGACAACTTCTGTCTATCATCAGCATCATAGAATAATACCATAGTTGTTGTTGTTGAATTTTAATATCATAATAATATTTTTTGAGAAGTTATGGAAATATTTAATTCTCAAACAAACAATAATATATTAGATAACAGCACAGATAAAAGAAGAATTTGAAATTAAATATTTCCATAGCTATTTCAAAAATATTATTATGATATTAAAATTCAACAAAAACAATTATAGTATTATTCTATGGTGCTGATGATGGACATAGAAGTTGTCCGAAATATCGAACAACGGCAGAAACCATCAAAATTATCCTAAATATTATTTTTTCTTCTTTTTCTTCTTATTTATGTTGTTATCTAAAGTATCACTATTTATATTAAATTAAACGTTTCCATAATTATTTTAAAAAAATTATATTGAGAATATTGTGTACCAATCATAGGGGGTTGAAAACAATCTCGATAGAACTCGATATACGAAATTTTTTATAAAAAGAAATATAAGTAATTTCCGACTTCAGCAAATATCGTTTCAATTTATGATGGAGTACAACGAAATTTAATATAATATTTATGAGAAAGTTAAAAGAAGTAAGCATCTTTTACAAAGAATGATACAATATTAATAACTACTATTGAAAAAATGTGATTTCGTAACTTATTCATATATTTATCTTGTGATTTGTTCATTATCTAATCATCAGCTCACTACAATTGTGGATACTGTTTTCAATGTTTATTTTACTTCAACAAATAACGATCTACCTAATACTTCGAAAAAAAGCATTTCAAATAAGATAAAAATATCATAAGAAAGAAATTATATAGCTATGGTAAGTTTTCAATATGTAACACTACTATAAATGAAACAACAACGCTTGTATAAGAAACGAGAAGAAAAGAAAATCTATGAATAAATTTAAAATTTAATAAGTTTAATAATTTTGTTTGTTTCTTTTCTTGATAATGAATATTTCGGACATTCTCTATGTCCATCTTCAGTATTAGGTAACATCATATTCTTTTCTTCTCTTCTTATATAAACGTTGTTGTTTCATTCATATTATTACATATTGAAAATTTACCATAGTTATATAATTTATTTGTTACGATATTCAAAATCCGACTACAACGAATATGGTGCTAGCTAATGCTGAAGATAGATATAGAATGTCCGAAATATTCATTATCAAGAAAAGAAATAAACAAAATTATTAAAATTATTAAATTTTAAATGTATTCATAGATTTTCTTTTCTTCTCGTTTCTTATACAAGCGTTGTCGTTTCATTTATATTATTATCGGATAAAAATAATTCAAAATAAAAACTAATTTTGTATGAATAATAGACCAATACCTTATTTTCAGTAAAAAGTAAGATGGAGTATGTTAAAACAATTATCAAGTGTTCATAATTTATCAGTATTTAGTACCAGTATTCTTGTGTTCACTTATCTTTTCTAAAACATTGGATTTCGTTTTACAGTTAAAAAAACATCAATATATACTGTTTGGGTCAATGTATTCTGTATTGAGTATAATACTCGATAATGAAGCATTTGCTTTAATAACCGTTATATTCAAAAAGCAAGTTGTAAATAACTTTTAACGAGAAAAAAAACTCTAATTTTACTTAAAGTAGAGTGTTATATCACCGATGATGGAATTCTAAATTCTAAATGTCACAGTAACATTATTTTAATTAGCAAAAAAAAATTCTAAACTTAGTGAAGAAGAATGTAGATCATTTATCCTTATACCATAAAGATATAATAGCAGAAATGAACAACACAGAATTTAACTTCTAAGCTTTTCATTTCTCTAGTGCGAAATATTTTTTTCGTTATAATAAAAATGGCTGACTATCACTATAAAAAAGTGTATAACAATAAACCCTACAAAAGCGTTTGGTACTTTCATAAACCCTTCAATGGTTTAGTACTTTTTTCATAAATTCTCAGAAGGGCGTATGAAAATTTGAGAAAGGACTTATGAAGGTAAGAAACCCTTTTGTAGGGTTTATTATTGTACGCCTTTTTACAGTGTAGTCAGATAATATGCAAGAGCGGACAAGATTTTGATAAAGATCAAATATGTTGATGATTGAATTTTTTTTTATTCGAATTGTGAGTACGCTACTAGTTGAATTAATGTTTATACGATACGAGGTTATAAACCGATCAAAACATATGTTATTAGTAGAATATAAAACCACCAAATGGCTAGTCTTTTCTATTAACACATTCTTTGTTTAGTTATTTGTTAACCAGAGTTTTTTATAATTAAAATATTGCCTTTTAATATTTATCAACAGGACTTGCATTTTTTGAAGGAATAAAAGTGAAATGATACACGTGCAGTTTTGTTCATGTTTTTATACATAATACAAGCACAAAGCAAAACAATATATGATGAAGTGTGTATGTAAAGATAATTATGAGTCATTACATATATAGTACATCATATATGATGATCGCCAACAGTCCAAGACATAAATGTGTGTATATTGCGCTACTAGTGATGGGTCCTGATATCTGAAAGCCTTATATCGTACTAATACTACTACTACTAATATTATTATTAGTATTAATGCAACCATTATGTGACATAATTTCCTATATATCTTATAGTTTATCATCATTATTTAATCATATAAACATCTATCATATGATTTAATTGTTTTGCTCACCTACTATGCATAAAAAAAATAACCGAAATTGCATGAGTCCATTATTTGTTAGAAAGTTGTGATATATTTTTGAATATGTAAGTTTGTGTTTTATTTGAACGTGAGTTCAATCTTTATTTCAATAAGTAAACAGAATATCAACATTAACCATAATACGAACTAACAACAATAATCACACCCGAATAGAAGAAAAAAAAAATATATATATATATATATATATGTATATATAACGATACAGTATAACGTATACAAAATACGCAATAGAAATATTAGTGCGTAATAGAAATATTATTACGTAACAAAAACAAGAACACATCAAGGTCATATCAATGTTTGTTTGACCCTGAGAGAACAGAGACGAATATAGAGAAGTTAGATGAAAGGGAACAAAAGAGCGAACAATTTTCAATCATCGAGAAGAACGAAAGAAGCATACACATAGAGAAAGAGAACGAGAAAACAAAAGAACATATATTTTTTTTTATAACAACAAATACTTACAGAATATATGTATCAACATTATCAACCTTTCATTAATCTGCCAGATGACAAATAATAAACAAAGAGTGACGGTGTGTCTTACTTAACACATAATGTCGTATACGTGTCACAACAAGCTTCAAATTTCTAACTTTCAAGAATCGCTTGGTTTCATTTTGGTTTTGACGAATGATAGCGATATTCTAGATTTTTCATGTTCTTTCATGACAGTGCCCAAAAATGAGAACACCCTTGAAAAATTGCCAAAATTGAAACTTCCTACAATTTATCCATATCCATTACTACCATATCACGTAGAACATTTATTATAATGCTGATAACACTAAGTATGATAAATAAAAAAAAAAACTCTGAATCGCGCATTATTCATTTCCATTTTGTACATATTATGTCTGTTATGAATTGCAAGCAAATCAGATCAACTCTGACTTTAGAAAATGCAGAAAATAGATATGTTATAGGAAGACAAGAGATATTGAAAAACAATATATATATATATATATATGTAGGAAGAGATTTAAAACAGATTGGCCTAGAAATAATAACGAATAGATTACCATAAAAATTAAAATAAATCAAATGAAATCAGGTATATATTAAAGATAATAAAGACAGTCAAATTTCAAAAAAATTCACCATGTGATATTTCGGTACCTATTCACAGATTCCATCATCGAACGTAAAAATCACTAACACAAAACAATATATATATATATATCCAAATGTATCACATGATATTATATATATGAAACCACAATGTACAGGGTGGTCCAGAAGCTACCTACCATAATGGATATCCGATATTAACTGATGATAAATTGTTAATGATACTTTTCATACATTGTATTGATTTAGAGAGCTAAAGCTTTCAGTCTATAAAGATCTTGATTAGATATAGGTATGATAAAAATTTCAGCTCTCTACATCAATAAAATGTATGAAAAGTATCATTAACACTTTATCATCAGTTATTATCGTATATCCTCCTTTATGGTAGGTAACTTCTGGACCACCCTGTATATCAGTACATTTTAAACAATAAATTAATTTATTCATCATATACCAAAAAAGTATAAATAAAACAATTAACTTATTAACGCATCCATTTTTATGCTATACGAATATTATATTAAAAAAA